TTTGGAGGACATTATTAGAAGTAATAAATAACATTTGGACATTAATATATGACATTGGGCATTAAGGAGAGAGAGTTTTAGTGTTATTTAGGAAATGTTTCCTTCTTTTTTCTTCACTAGTGGACATTAAATATCATAGACATTATGTTTTTTTAAGGACATTATTTTATCTATTATTTTTCATCACTAGACATTAAAATTCATATACATTATTTTTTTACGAATACAAAGACAATGAACATTCAAAGTTGGGCAATGTGGGAGCAACAAAGGTGGCCCGTAGGCATTGAGGTCGGGTTGTATCAACGGGAGGGGAGGGGGTAGGGTAGTGGGAATTGATGTTGGTGCAAGTAAGGTGGAGTTGTAAAATATCGATCGAAATTATTTTCAATTCAATTTAAATGAATATTATTGTAAAAATAAAAAGTAAATTTACACATTCAAAAATTATTTCAAAAGATCTACAAAACAAGAAATAATACAATTATTTTATTTTACCAAATAATTAATAAAAATATGTATCTAATAATTAATGTCCTTGGACAATATTTTAATTTTTTTTGTATGACGATACTAGGTCAGATAATGTCAAACATATTGTAGGAGGGGAAGTGAGCATGATGATGGGAAATGTTGAGAAGAGAGCAAAATTAATGAAGACAAGGAGAGCAATCGCAAAGGAAAGAAGTGTAGAGAATGAGTATTGATGATGCAATTATTGCTTGATTTATAGGGTGATAAATGAGTAGTTATTTTTAAATTATGTAACTGAAATCATATGGATCACATGGAGTAATTAGAGGAACGGCTAGATGAAAAAATAAGAAGAATAAATATATAAGGGTAAAGATGGAATACCGTAGAGAAAAAGTCCTATTAATAGAAAACAACTTAACTAGTCCTATTAAGGGAAAACTAACAACTTTAAGTCTTAGATGCAACAAATTTTACTTTATTATTTATTTGAAAGTTTTGGAATATGATTCATTTTAATTATTTTTTGCTTGCTGCGTTACTCGATTTGAGGGTCTTTATGGTGGAGACTATACATAACCTCCATATTTTTTTTAGTGCATCATCTCTCTCATCCACATTAACACCACATTTGATTTTAGTAATATCATATTTTTCATACCATTAGTATTTTGACCTGTGCGATGCACGAGTGAAATGAATATTTTTTTACTTAGCTTTCTTATACTTCGTAATTGTTTGTTAATAATGATTAAAAATTTAAGGAAAACATATTACGATCAGTAGAATTTTTACGAATGATATACCATAAGCGTTTGCTAATGGAAATTCTTCTACACAAATATGAAAACGAATCTATAAATGTATAATTTAAATCTAAATTATTTTAAAAAAACTTTGGGGCATACCACATTTTTGGTGAAGTTGCAAGGGCTACTGTTATTATACCCCGTATAAAACTATTACTTTCAATCTTGTCTTACTTTTACTTGCAAAGAAAACAAACATGAGTGGATTTTTTTAAACTTCAAGAGCAATCCAAGATCAGATAGGGGTGTACACCGGACCGGACTTGACCGGAACCGAAAAAACAGAATCACTAAAACTATAGGACCGGAAACCAGATCTGTTTTTCCGGTCTGGTTTGGGTAAAAATCGAAAAACTTGAAATTTTTTGTTGAACTATGTTCAACTTTTTTTTGTCAAATTTTTAAAACTTTTTAATTAACAACGTAGCTTGATTTGAATTGATTTCAAATCTACTCTTAATATTTATATCCATTGGACATGTTTCAAAAAACAATATTAATGTAAAAATATTAGGTAATAAAAATATAGAACTCCTATTTAAGTAATAAAAATATAGAACTCCTACTTAGGTAATAAAAATATAGAACTCTTATTTAGGTAATAAAAATATAGAACTCCTATTTTGATATTTTTCTCTATATTTTAGTCTTATTTAGGGTGATTTTTTATTAGGAAATGCAAAAAAAATGAAATAAATGTGTATACAATTTTTTACACGTACGATAATACGGAGTACAAGATATATTCCCTCCAATCCGTCCCAAAAAATCATCCTCTTAGCTGGCAAATCGGTTGGTCAGGTTCAGTCACTTCGAGTTCAGGTTATTTCGGATTCGGGTCAATTCGGGTTTGGGTTGAGAACTTTATGTTCATGATCCAGTATCATCAGGTTCGGTTCAACCTAACGGGTTATGACTTTGGTTTTTTTAAATTTTAAATTCACATTAACACTTAGATTTAATTTTCTATTAAATAAATTTAAAATATTACTAGTAAACAATATGTATTAAACCTATTAGATTATTCTATTTTAAATCCTAAATTTTTTTTAGATATATAAAAGAATATAAGGAATTTAAAAAACGCTTATGTTTTAGAAAAAATAAGATAATTATGCAATATCATAAAAATTTTGTCTAAAAATATAAATTTATAGATTAAAAACAAGTAGTAAAGTGTATAATTTTGAAAAACTCTTACTTTAGCGGGTCAGTCAGGTCGGGTTCGGGTTCGATCGGGTTTGGCCCATTTTTAGCGGGTCATTTCGGGATCGGTCAACTTTGGGTTCGGTCATCAAAACCTTTGTTCAAAACCTAGTGTTTTCAGGTCGAGTTTCAAGTCAAAAACAGGTCGGGTCATTTTTTGCCAGGTCTAAACTCCACTATACTGAGTCAATGTTTTAATCCTTTCTTAATTTATTTTCATTATCTATTCTTAAGAATAGCATAGTCATTCCCTTTATTTTAAAATTTTTTAGAGAATTAGATATTGAAATACTCCCTCAACCCCGGAGTATTCGTCCAGTTTTGACTTTTGGAACTTTTCATCTAAGCACTTTGACTCATCAAATTTTCTCAATGTGTAAGCTTAAATATAGTCATGTGTGATCTTGTTTGATTTGTCTTAACATATAGATTATTAATACTGCCTCCGCCCCTAAATATTCACAACATTTGTTTTTTCAGTAGTGTCGGAAACTTTTGTTTATTTCAACGTTTTCATTGATTATTTGATAAAATAAAATATTCTTGACACCTCTTATTTTGAAGAACTTTTCATGCAGTTTTTTATATGTAAATTTTATTTTTTATTTCTTTACCAATATGTAAATAAAATGAATTGAAAAAGTTTGATATTTTACCTCGGAAATACAAATGTGGCAAATAATTTGGGACGGAGGGAGTATATAATTTCTATAATTTTTTAATATACAAATTACAAGATAAAATGGATTAAAGAAGTGTATTGGATGGTGTGTAAAAATAAAAGTGGACAAATACTCTGGGATAGAGGTAGTATAAATAAATTAAATGTAAAATAAATGTAGTTTAAGTGTTTAACTTTAAAAAGACTAATTTTGGAAAGGAGAAAGCACAATAGAGTGGGTGAGAGTTGACGATGGAACACCTCCGTCAATGTCATGTGTGGTAGGTGGTACTCCCCTTTCATATTTAAATTAAATTGTTTATTTGACTTTATAATACTCCCTCCGTCCCAAAAAATTGGTACATATTGACTTTTTAGGAAATTAAGGGAGGAATATTTTGGTGTTGATTTTTCAAAAATATCCTTGATGTGATGCGTAAAGTGGGATGTGATGGGTAGATTATTAGGAAAAAGGTATGATGTGATAGGTAGGATATGAAAAAGTAAAGGGTAAAAGTGGTTTTTTAATAGAAATGTAACGGACTTTATGGGACGGAGTTTTTTCGAAACGTGTCGGACTTTTTGGGATGGAGGGAGTATTTGATTAAAGTTATTTTTAAATTATTTATATAAAAATGATTTATAATGAAAAAAATAAGATATTTAAAAACTATATTAAAAAATTTAGAAAGTTAGAGATGACATTACTAAATATGACTAAAAGATAATGACTTTTTCAATATAGGACCATATGTTTTTCTTTTCCAATGTAGGACCATTGATCATTATGTATTAATCATTATTCAACTAAATGTCCAGCACCACTTGGATATTATTCTTCTCACTAGTCATTATTAATTCCTATTTAAGGAATGAAAAAGTTTAAGTCCTACATTGGGAAATGACTTAAGTTTTAGTCCTATTTAATGCAAATTTCACATTATTTTACCAAATGACTAGCTAAAATAGAGAAACAAAGTAAATGAAGTAACACACACACACACATATATATACTCTTATTAATTCTTACCCTACCTATACTATCACATCATACCTTAATACTAATAATTTCTCTATCACATTTTACTTTTACCTTTCACATCAAGAGAATTTTTGAAAAGTCAAAACAAAAATATCCTTCTTTAAGAAGAGACGAAGGGAGTATTTCTTAGCTAGAGTTAGGTTGCATTATTATATAAGGGGGTGTTTGTTTTTTGGCCAGAAGAGCTTCTGGCCTCTTTTGTCTGCGCCGCGCAGACGCGCGCAGATGCTGAGCTCTGCAGATTGTTTGTTTTTTGGAAGACATTTCACTCAAAAAGGTCTTCCTGTCATCTTCTTGGAGAAGACATTAACCTATGTCTTCTAACATCTTCTAACATCTTCTCCATTTTTTTCTTCTACTTCTCTTCACCACCACTACCGTCCACCACCATCACCACCGTCCACCATCACCGCCACCGTCGTCCACCACCACCGCCACCGTCCACCACCGTCCACCATCACCGTCACCGTCCATC